CCCGGCTTTCACATGCTCCCTCTGCATGTGTAATTGCGCGTCAACGCGGACAACGACGCAGAAGTATAAATGAAAACCAACGCGTAGTCTATAGCGTAGAGGCTCTGGCGTAGGTCCGACGCAGAAGTTTAAATCAGCCTTTTACTCTCCTGACTGCTTTGTCGGACAAAAATGGTGGATGGCGGATTATGATTGGTCAGATCACCTGTCAATCAAACTCCCTGCGAAGGTAGTGATGGCAATTTCATGAAGCTTCGAAGCCTTAAAAATCGTTTGTTCCGAACGGTTCCGAATCAATGGTTGCAACGATTATGGTACGCAACGATTCCTACAATTGTAGGAAATAGGCATACCACCTGGTATTGATAGACCACACTTGTGAGTTATTGACCACCACAGCAAATAATATCTCTGTCCAAAACTATCTTTTAAAATGAAGTTTTCTAAAAAATGGTAGGCTCCCCATCATGCTCTCTCCCCTAATAATCTTGACAAGACGAATTTTCTTGAAAACACTGCATCTGTCTGTTGAGTGGTGGGCATCTCAAGATCATTGGCTGAATCCGAAATAGCCCCCTATACCCTCAAATAGGGCGTTATTTGAGTAGACAGCCATTTAGTGGTATCTGAAACCATAGTGGGCGGGGCGTTGCTAGACCCATTTTATAGAGTGGACGTGCCCCAGTATAAATCTGCTGTGCCCCAGTAAATCTGAATTTTGAGTTTAACAATTTATTGTATTTGTTTCGGTTAAACTGCGTTGCTTTTACAAGCATTGATTGGTTTATTACTGCATTGCAAATAGATCATTTCTATTACCCTATAATATAATTTATATTAAATACACTGACAAATAAAATAAAAATGCACATATGTAGGTCCGAGAAATCCAAATTTTCTCAGGGGAGCATGCCCCCGAACCCCCCTAAGTTACTCAACTACCCAGCATGGTGTTTTTGAAACAAACAAATTGGATTTATCTATCGGTAAGCCCTGCCCTCCTTAGTTACGCTTGCTATCTCAGACAAACAAAGCTTAATGTCTACCAACGCCCCTGGGCGTTATTGAGTTGCACTTATTCAATTCCACATTGCACTGCAGAGTGTACAACCGATGTATGCTCAACGGCTGTCCGAATTCGCTCACTCCTTTTCATTCACTCCTTCAAGTGAACAATATTAGTGGACTACCGTAGGGAATAGTAACTGAGGGTTTAGGGGACTATTTCGGATTCAGCCAATGTCATACTTTGCCTGGTGGCATTTTCCGTTTTGACCACCATTGAGTAGCTAATCACCCACAGCGCCACCTGGTGGACTACAGCAAAATCCAACATACAGTAGTAAGCACAGTGTAGGCCTACTGTAAATACTTGACATTGTTTTGAGTACAGCCATTATCCACAAGCAGAGATACACTCTCCCCACAGAACTGCTAATGTAAGTTTTTTTATAGCAACTACCTATCTCATCTGAACAGACTTCATGGACAGGAATCGATCCTTAGAGTCGAGTCTAAACCAGCTGCATTTTTCACTGTCATTAGTGTACAGTCTGAAAGGACAGATCAAGACTTTAGCAGATTCCAGGGCTGTACATGCTGCCTATGGTAGATATCACCTATAGATGTGTCCCTGGGGGCCCACTGCCAGGAGCTAAGTGCTGCATACTAACGCTGCTGAATACACAAGCTGACTGCAGTGTGCCATTGCAGCTAGAAATTTGTGTAACTCTTAATGGTTGTAATGGCTCCACATGAGCACCACACAATGTGTGAGACAAAAAGAAGGGAATGTGGCAAATCTGTCTCCGCTATTTTATTATTTCATCATCCAGCATCCAGCTCTGCCAAGGAAAGTGATTGAGATTGTGAGTAGTGCATTGTTTGAAGGTGTAAAGGGACACATTTTGTAAATAAATAATAAAAGCTCTTTGAATGCTAACTAGTTACAAATTAAAAAAATAAGTGAGAATCTATGCTAAGGTGCTCTAACAAGCAAACCGGTCTGAATTAAGCAGGGTTGCAAAATAAGACAAGCCTCTGGTTGCTTACTTAGGAAATTTTATGCTATTTTTAATAATATATATTATATATATGATGTATCTGACAGCAGAGAGAATGTTCCCTTTACTATATTTTATAATAATTTAAAAATATATATAAAATAATGATGTATCACGACATCTACATTATGTAGTTTGCTTGAACAAGTGACCATATTTGACAACTGCTGTTGGTCATACTTTGTTGTGCACGAATGCGTGACTGTACAATGTAAATGAGCCCAAAAAGTAGCAACCTGTGACTTCATGAACAAAGCAAGGCCAAAGTCACTTGTTGTATAATAAGTGGACATGGCAACACTGCACTGAATCAAGCTTTGAGCTGAGCTTATGCGTTGAGAAGACTCGTGCTTCAGACTCTTATATGGAATCTCTTTCTTCTCAGACCAGCACAAATCACTCTTCTGTCTCATCAGTGCACACATTGTATGTTTTTTTTTAAAATGTATTGCTGGCTAAAGGATTATGCACATTTGGTCGTACAAAGCTCTTTCACTCCGTCACGTAGAGCTGAAAGGCTTTTTTGTTGTCCGTTGACTGACCAAATGCTCTTTTTATTCACACTTGACTACTTTTTAGCAGACTTCTATTTATTTTTATTCTGTAACAGCCCTCTGAACATTACAGCAAAATAGCAAAAGACAAACCGGTATGCTGAGGTAAACATGGAAGAAGCACCCTAGAATAACCCCCTACAATATTCTTTTGTACTTTCTTCAGATACAAATTCAGATACAAGTTTTTAGACAAAACACATTGCCCAGGAAGGCAATTTACATGACTCATAGTCATTAGGGTTAACATAGCAAAGAGAGTTTGACTTGTCTAAAATCTGCCCTTTTATTTCACCATGCAGCCATTAGGGGGCGACGGGCCGGGGAATCAACCGTAGTTGCTCTCATTGGCTATTTGGCCCAAGCATGGTGGACCTGCAAATAAATGAATTGCTTTTGTTGTAGTATTGCTCTTTGTGAGTCAATTTGGATTAAAACATATACAAATGGCTAAATATGTCATTTGGTGCTCTGAATTCCGCCTGTTTAACTCTAAACTGAAGGCATTAAAAAGAGATAAATACAAAAAGGGGGGACTCCAAAAATATGAATGATTTGAAGACTCGGAAACAGATTTTGGCATTACAGAAATGATCAAAACACAGTGAGGGACTCTCATCTGGCTAGCACTACTGACATTTAAAGCAAACAGTGACCTTTAACCTTGAAACACCCACTTGAAGAGCCATGTATGCAAAGTAACGTGGTTACACTTGTGTCCAGTTGTTGCTGAGCAGCTGTTTTGAATAGGTAATAATAAAAGGAATCCATGGAATTTTAATACAGATTTATCAGAGAAACTCCAGAGGAGCTAAATTCAGGATCTGCCTCTTCAAACAAGCGTCAGTGAAGCAGTGTGCTCTGTATTTTATGTGATCTTCTCAAGTAATACAAGATGTTAACTCACAAATGTTGTGTTTAATCACCAAAGACCCTGAGAACACCAATAATAACCACTAATCATTGATAAAATCATTTGTTTTTATCAGTTTATTAGTGGTGTTAAGCTAAAGCAACATCTCTTAAAGCCAGTCATGCTGTAGCAACAAGTCTAAACACACTATTCGTCAGCATGAAACTGATTTATTTGAATGACAGACCCTCTAATTTCAGCCAAAAAACAAACGTGATTTGTCTCTTGATAGGCATTTTACCCTACTACAATAAAATAGGAAAGAAAACATGTGGACTGTTGAGGGAGGAATTTGAGTTCCTGAGAAGGGGATTAAACATGGGCTAGATCAAGTTTCCAAAGAAACACAAACGTTCGGCTGAATTACAGGGTGGTTGTGTCAGACTGCAGTATTTCAGATGAAAATGAGGGTAATGGGATGAGCTTATTAAGTATTCCTTTAAATAGAAACAAAAATTGATTAAAATTAGAGAAATCGACCTGTATTATTATGAGTGTAATGCTTTACTAGGCTATTATTTGCAGACCAATTTTTTTTTTTTTTTTTTACAATATATGAGAAAAGCATATACTGTATAATTTATAAAACTTAGGACCAGACACATATATGGGGAGGTTTTAATGGAATTGGTTTATTGTTACACTTCTTCAAAATAAAATGAAATCTTTTTTTACATGTTTATGCTGGAAAAGAAAGAGTTGTATAACACCAGCACAGTTTCAAACCTCCAAACCTCAAAAGCAGAGGTGACTTATTTTGTATGTTATCATTGTTAAGACTGCATATTATATCTCATTCATACCGCACATGGCTTGGAAACTGTCGCTGTGATAAACTGGATGTGCCTAGCAATGTCAGATTTGGTGCTCAGCCAAATCTGTCAGGTTAACATGCTTTTAAATTCTTTAAAGAGTTCCAAAGAAGAACCACAAAAGATTACTAAATGCCTAAAGGGCAGCGTAACAGAATAAAGAGCTATGTCGCTAGTGTGTTCCTGAGAAAGTATTCAGTTTGATTCATGTGTATAGTATGTAGGCACACAGGATTTAACCAGTTTATTCTTTTAAAGGTGCTTTAATGCTGCAAGCCAATAAATTGTTGCCAAAAAGTCACCTTTAAAGTAATGAAGCAAATACAACACGATCATAAAGGTTTATATTTTATTTACATAGTAAAATATTGTCTTTCAGTGCACTTTAAAACCTCACGAGCTCAAGATAACAGAAGCATTCACTGATTTTAATATTTTAATCATTTAAGTAGTGGGCTCTAAAGTGACTATTTTATAAGAATAACGGGTACATCAAATTAATTATAATGAAATGATGGGGTTCCATAGAAGTGACATTTGAAAGGAATGTTTGAGGGTTCTTTGCAGCAGTATGAACTTTATAGTGGAACCAATTATGGGCGGTGCTAGTGACGCTGACCCCGCCCCTTCTCTTAACCACTCCCACATATCTGATTGATGTTACTCAAGACAAGCAGCATTGAGATTTCGGCGACAGTGTCTGAAAGATGTGTAGCTCCTGAAAAACATGCTGTCCTCAGAGCACGCGATGTTTCTGTTTGCTGGGGTAAAATCTAACTGAAGTCTAGTTAAAGCGTCGGTGGAATCCACTGTTAAAAGACGGATTGTAGAAAAGCACGAGCGATCAACGAGACGAGATTTGCACGCGCTGCCGTAGGAGATCAGCGGACGGCTGTCTGAGATCTATTCAACAACATTTCTTTGTTTCTCCGTGTAATTCCGGTTTTCTTTCGTCTTTAATATGGCGAGCGATTCTCCGGCTCGGAGTCTGGATGAAATAGACCTCTCTGCGTTAAGGGTAAGTTGTGTCCTTCATTGAAGATGCTCATTGATGTGTTTTGGTGTTGCAGTTGCGCCGTAATGGCAGGTGCAACAATCACTACAATAGTAGTGTAATGAAATGAAAAATAACGGCTTAACGTACAGCCACAAGGCGTTTTTATTCCGACCAAAAGCGTTTTTCGTTTCTTGTTCAGTCGGTAAGGAGTCATTATGTGATCGACGGCTGGATTTATCAGATCAAATAACTGTTTTGTGAAACTTATTACAGATTATTGAAGAAAATGTCAACAAACTGATCCGGTTGATAAAATAACATCCCGTTGATCATGATATCGCAGTCTAATGAAGCCTATATGCAGGCATTTATTTGGCATTGTTTGTGTACATGTTGTAGCATGTAGTCAGTCCTATTAAAGTAGCCTCGCATGCCTGGTTCTCCGATTTGTTTTACCTGGACTTTTATGAATAAATGATTAATAAGAATATCCGAGATGAGGAAAAGTGATTTTTTTTCTTTCTAGAAGTCTAGTTCAAAACGCCAAGTTATATAAAAAAAAAAATGCAGTGTGTGGCTTTGTTGATTTATTACATTTTTGAAGCGAAAATGTATTGCAATCATCAGTACTAGTTATTTTCTCTGCACCTTGAATACAGCACAGTATGACTAAAGCTAGTGATCATTTTCCAAAAAGTTTTTAAACACAATTTTTTTAAACCAATATAAATTTGAGTCATGCACATCAAGTTTTGTAGATTTTTTTTTTTTAATAAGCCATGAATAAAACCTGAATAAAACATGCGTTCTCATAAAAAGGTCAAAATATTCTTGTCACATGACAACAAAATGGCTTCCTGCATGTCGGTTATGGCACACTGACTTTGAAACATTTTCAAATATGAGTCATATTTTTAAACAAAATTGATTCAATGCTGCAGTTTTTTTTGGACTGCTACACCACCAAGACACCTTTAATTTACCCCACAAAAAACATCACAAGTGATTTTCTGGTTCAGAAATTGAAAAGAAAACGCATTCATCACAGCAGAGCAATTGCATTGTAATTGTATTTAATAATAGTGCAATTTAGTAATAGATCTTGATCAGTAGCACATAATTTACTCATATCTGTTCTTTTATTCCACTGTTTGTTCAATGAAAACAAAATTGAACTTGCTGTGTGCTGTTGTAGGATCTATCTGTGTCCAGCCGGGAAACTGTGTGCCATATGCATGGCTTGATAAATGCTCAAATCCTTCATAATGCCACCAAATTACTCCCAGCATGTTTTCCTGTGACTTCTGAGTGGATAAACTGGGTTACTTCTTAACAAGGCTCCGGTTTTATGTGTCTCTCCTCGGATTATAAAAACTGTGTCAGTCTGTCTAATTAGTGTGTGCGTTGTCGTGTAGCTCAACTGGTTCAACATGCCACCAACACATCTTTAGATCATGGGTTTTGGTTAATGGTAAATGCACTGTCATTCTTATTAGTTAGTTATACACATCTGCTAAATTCATTCAATTAAGGGTGTACTAAAATCAGAAAAGTTCTTCCTATGCATTTTTTTTTGCATACAGACGACACCATTGATAAAACGATCCCCATTCACACGAATCTGCGAAAACGACAAGAAATGCTGTATTATGCATGCCAGGCCAGTAGTTGGCGGTGTGAAATGTTACGTGCCTATATACTGAACACAGAATATGCATGTGCATGACGTCACTTTTTTCCCCACAAATTTGCGTTTTTTATCATTTATACAAAGACAAAAAAAAAACAACAACTTGCATATGAATCCCATTTCCAAAAGTTTATATTTTCAGGCTCCCTAAACTTGTCTTGTAAATGAACTGCCATTAGTTGAAAACGGTGTAGTGTAAACGGCCCCTAAGTGTGAAAATATGTACTGTATATGTTTCATGACGAATGTATCTGATAAGTAAATTGGACAAGATATAAGTGGTTGGGCAGTTTAAGGATGCCCATATGGTGAGGCACAGTTTCACAGCAGTCATAAACCAATTACCCTGTGTGCTGTAGGATCTAATGAGCTAAAGGGATGCCCGTGAAGTGCTCTCCTTTCTCCGCTCGTGAGGCTAAGTAGCGCGTGGGATGGAAAGATTACTGCAGATAGCCCTTTGAGTGCTTTTGATTTGGACATCCATTGTCTGGTGCATTAGCTGCACCTTCACTGCCTTCTTCTCACACATGGATCTGTTTGCACATCCATGCATTCACACTACAAATCACATGGCGCTCCATATGTCGCTCACATTTTGAATGGGATTAAGTGTTAATCTCTGTTTTATACTAGCCCTGCACTCTGCCCTTCCCTGATGCAAGATGATATGTAGCTCCTCGCTTTTCACACCATCCTATGGAAGAATTGAGTTTTAAAGCCTGCTCACATCACTTCCTGACTGTCACTTTCTATCGGCAGAGCAAATGCAGATTGTTTTTATAAACACGCCTGATGCTTTGTTTTAGTTTAGATGAAACAGACATTCAGTTTCTGTTGCAACCTTATTTTTGCTGTCTGTCCAGAACCCTCATTAAATGTTTGTTTATAAAATATCAGACTTGCATCTGGAAATCAATCCTTTGCTTTTATCTTCCCGTTCATTTAAATAGTCAGTTGAGTGGGCTTTCGCATGTTGTGTTTGAGCTAGAAGGGAAATAGGTCACCCAGAAGCAGAGCGCTGACGTGCAGAGTGGGGAAACATTTCAGTGCAGCACATGCTCAGATGGGCCATTCATAAACACAGCACAGAAGAGGAGGTCTGTGTCCCACATACATGGGAGCGATGTTTGGCATCACCTGGTCAACCTCACCTAGTCCTGAGGGACGACATCTGAAAATGAGCTTCTGTGCTCTGACCACAAACCTTGAAATGAGATCCGTGCCCTTTTTGTTTGTTGTTTGGCCATTTTTAGCTCCAAACACAAGTAGCGAGGACCTTAGTTTGTCGAAGGGGTCATGTACCGCACGACGCCTGTGTTATTAGGCTTGGTTTTGATGCAGGTCACCAGAATAACCTTCGTTCACCCAAATTTATGAGGTAGTGTTTTTCTCGATGCAGACGAGGTTTATTTTATCATGGGTTTGACAGGCCTATGGGTTTAGAAAGAGGTTCTGTTCAGTCAGGCGTATCAAGACTCAAGGTTAAGTTCTTTTAAATAGGATATGGGTAAATGACATGATGCTAATCTGTTAAAAAGTTAGAGTAAAAAATGTGATGATGAAGTTTTCTTTTACATTTTCATAAATAAAGTCATGTGGTGTGACCAACATGCATTTTTGCTGAAAAAAAAGTGACACTGAAGTAATTCAGTTTTGCCATCACAGGAGTAAATTAAATTTTAAAATGTATTTAAATAGAATGAGTCATATACTATTAAAATGTATAATAACTGTAGATACTGTTTTTACTGGATTGTTGATCTAATTCTTTTATAAACATTAAATCATACCAACCCCAAATTTTTGAAGGGTAGTCGTGTTTAAAAAGGAAAATGATGATTAAGATGTGTACACTCAGGTGTTCACTTGAAATTCAATACCATATTAAACCAACATAACACACAAAGTACATTTCAATGAGCCTGCCATCTGTTAAATATTTTTTTTTAAAAATATAACCTAGCCTATTTAAATATTTTTTCCTGTTCTTCATAGTGGACACTCTTAAATGTCACAGACCCATTTATGATGAAACTGCTTGAATGGATCTGCGACGCTTAATGGGATTTAAAAAAAAAAGTATAATAAAGGGTTAGGCCTTAAGATCCTGCTTTCATTCACACATCCTCTCAGTTAGTCTCTATGTGCGTTCCCTTCATTCAGCAGCTCGGTGGGTTGAAGGAATAGTGCTGGGCCCAGCACTGTGAGGGCCAGGTGGTGCACCGTCTGCTTCGTCCTCAACTGACTTACGTACACTGCTCTCCATGTACAAAAATGTAGGAGAGATGTCAATAAAATCAAAGAGCAGCAGTGACAGAAGACAGCGTGGGCTCTGGTGTCCACCCTGGGTGTGTGCGGGTGTGCGCTTTTGAGTACCTCTGTTGTTTGTGTTGTTAGTCACTTGCTGTCACACCCTGGCACTCCAGCTGCATTCCATTACATGCCATTCAGCCTGAGGATGTCTTGTATAACATTATTTTTTATATACGTGGCACACCAAGAAAAGAAAGTGTGTAGTTTCTGATGATGGGCTGAACTGCCAGTTCTTACAAAGCCACATCGAGACACTTAAACTGAGGGGTGCGGAGAGCCGTCTCACCCCTTGCCCGGGATGCTAGTGCTGTAGTTGAAAGTGCTTGTGGGTTTTTGGGTGCAGTTAGCCTGTGCCCTGCAGCGTTAGCTGTTCTGAATCTCCCCTCCCATCCTCCATCTCTCCGCCACTCTGCCCTCCAGCAGACGTCCGCTGACCCATTTCCTGTCTTTACACTAGAGCAAATGTACACTTTCATTTAGTTTCAATTAGCTAGATGTATTTCCTTTTTTACGGTATGTTTAATAGACTGGCACATCTGTTTGCAATGCATCTGGCCTATTTACACCTTGACTTATGAGATTAATCTTATGGTTGCAAGAGACTCTTTGTTTACATCTGGTAGTCTGGTAGACTCATTCTCAATTGTGTCCACTGTGACTGATTGTGTTCCTGTGCGTGTCACGTACTACATCATTCAGTTGTTGCAAAAACTTTGTTGTATTTTAATTTGTGCAAATGTGCCGTTTTAGTCATCTCATGTTAGTCTTGCTCCTATTAACTGTATTGGATATGCTTCTTAAGATATGTGCCACTGCATGTTGATATCAGACATATTGAAGTACACATGACTTGTTGACTGTTAAGTGGTCTTGGTCTCATAGATGTCCTTCCTTACATGGTTTAAGAAAATGTGACTGTCTCTTGAGTGTATTAATGTGCTGTCATTAGCAAATGTTTGTAGATTAGTAATGTGTGGTTTATTAAGGAATTTCTATTAGTTTTTCAATCAGATTTAAA